ATAAACCCTTCTCACACTCTTGCAATGTTCTAGACTCTTAAACCTACGTCATTTTAACAACATACATATATGTCCTGTGCAGTATCTACTGCAAAATATTATATGAGGAACTCACCAGCCTTGGTCTGGTTCTGGTCAGGTTCTGATCAGCTCTCTGTAGCCGTTGAGCACCAGATGCTTTTGGAGAGAGCTGGCCCTTCGGAGAGCCAGCACAAAACCACACAATGGTCCCGTCCATCCGTCCGTCCGTCCATCCATCCATCCATCCATCCATCCATCCATTCATTCCTCCATCCATCCATCCATCCATCCATCCATCCATCCATCCATCCATCCATCCATCCGTCCGTCCATCCATCCATCCATCCATCCATCCATCCATCCATCCATCCATTCATTCCTCCATCCATCCATTTTCTTCTGCAGCTTAAGTAGGGAGGCCCAGACTTCCCTCTCCCCAGCCACTTGGACCAGCTCCTCCGGGGGAATCCCAAGGCGTTCCCAGGCCAGCTGAGAAACATAGTCCCTCCAGGGTGTCCTTGGTCTCCTCCCGGTGACAATGGTCCCAATCGAGTCCAAATAATCCATAATAATCCGGATGAAAAAGTCTGATAAATTAGATAGGTTCGGATCGGATCAAAACTTTCCCTCCATTTTCAGCAGAAAGCTGTAGCTGGAAGCAGTGTTGGCTTTTGGGTAGTGTAGTTCTTTGAGCAAGTCCACAAAACTCGAACTGCAAAGTAGTGAGGGACTATAGTTTAAGTTTTTTATGGTCTTTGGAGCAAACTTACATAAACGCCCAAACTGTGCATAAAGTAAATCTGCAAGTCACTTTTGTTAACCAGTCAAAAATTGCATGAATATTGAGAAAGTTGGAAAGTTGTCTGAAAATGTGTGGAAAGTGTGATTTTATAGATTGACACACTTTAAGTTTAAACTTTTTGTATATTTATAATAAATGCAAACAATTATAAGTAGTACGACTTTGCAAAGAATTTTTTTGCCCACCCACTGAGAAACAATTATTTATAAAGAAAAAGAAAAGAGGGGCAGAAGTTGTAGGGATGAAGGCTGAGTGGTAAGATCAACGTGCTCCCTTCATACTCTGACTCTTGTACGTAAATATTAGGATGTTTAAAGTTACTGATATGTTCTCTCTGGTTCTTGTAATGCTGAGCCTCGGCCAACTATAGACCCTGGATGTGCTGATGATTCTTCGTGTGCATAATAAATAACTATTTGGCCTTTACAAGTAAAAACCCATCTTTCATTAAAGAATTATAAATCTAAACGATCTATAGCCTCCAAAACCAACAGTTTCTCTCACTGCAGAGAAGACACAGTAAAGTATGTGTGCTTGTACTGAAGTATGTGTGTTTGTACTGAAGTATGTGTGTTTGTACTGAAGTATGTGTGTTTGTGTGGTGAGGGAATGGGGGTGGGGGGGTGGGGGGGTGGGGGTTGTGTGTAATGGAAAATTCTCATGATGTATTTGTTGCCTCCCTTCTCCTCAACTTCCTGTCGCTCACTTTTCCATTTGTGTCCCCCTCCCTCCCTCAGTATTCACACGTCAGAGAGCCAGCAGGAATTTTTCAGGATGCTGGATGAGAAGATTGAGAAGGTGAGGGGTGGGGGTCTGTGGGTGTGTTTGTGCTTTCATGCTCCTAATGATGTGGGGAGGGGCGGAGGAATAAATCTCCAAGTGTTTAAAGACGCAGCTGGGTTTTTTGAAATTTAAAGGGGCCAGGCTGTACGACACCATCGTCCATCAGTCGAGGTTTGCAAGCCGAACACAAACCTCTGAACGTATATGGGGTGGGGGGGCAGGTGATCGCTGCAGCTGTAGAGCTCCTCATTGTCTGAGAAAAAGCACAGTGAGAAGAAGAATGATGCTGCAAGTTTTATTATTTCATTGTGAAAGCAAAAGTTTATTTTCGAACGTGCATTTTGTCGATTGACACCAGCGTGTTTAAACTCGCTCTATTCGATGCCTCGTTCATTGGACGACCTGAACGATTACAGTTGTTACAGCTGGCATGCTTTATGTCTGAAAACTTCAAAACTTCTTCAGTTTTATAAAAAGTCGGGTTCTGCGTTTGATTTATTTATCTTTTCTTCACCGGGTTGCAGAGTTTTAGGTTCAAGTTGTGCAAAGTTGTGGAGCACAACTTCCTCTCCAAAGGGGAGTTATTCTGTCAGAAAAAGTACTGAACTGCCAGAAATGTTCGCAGGCTATAACTCCATATTTAATTCATTCTCTCTGTTGAGGGCCCCCAAACTGTAGGACCACAAGCAAAGAAAGATGGAGTTTTTTTCTGTTATCCGCAACAAAAACAAGTCGATGCTCATCTGAGCAGCTAAACACCCAGAGGGTTTTATCTTCGATGGTGGCGCTAAAGGAAATTTATTTTAAATAGAATTTTGGTGGCAAAGTAAAATATTTGAGATGAAAATTAGCAGGGACCTGTGTGCAATTCTCTAATAAAAGTAAAAAAAGCTCAGACTCCAGTGAGGTTTGCTGCTTGCTCGTTTGCTGAGTGGTTGAAAGCTTCGATTGATAACAGATCTGGTTCAAAAAGAAACTGGTTTCCCTGTCCAAATCATTTTAGAGCCGCCCCAAAGAGGCAGCACCACAAATTTTTATTACGTTTGCAAAGATATTCTCTTTGGGTAGCACAATGGATTAGTGGTTAGCACAGTTTCCTCACATCAAGAAAGTCTTGGGTTCAATCCCTAGTTTGGATCTGGAGGGCTTTCTTTGTGGAGTTTGCATGTTCTCCTCATGTTTGCATGTTTTTTCTGTGCATGTGGTTTTCCTCAGGGTTTGACTGAGTTAAAAAAAATAAAAAAATAACTAGTGGCAATAATGTGCTGGATCATCCACATTCTTTATGAAAGGAACTACGTTTGAATAAATTCTTATCAAGAATTCAACCAAGTTTTTCTGTCATTTTAGCCCTTGAGTGTTAAATTATACACACTATTTCAGCTTTTAATGCCTCTTTGCATGTCTGACCTCAGCCTTATATTAACAGCTGATAATAATAATAATAATACCTTATTTGTATAGCACCTTTCAAACAAATGTTACAAAGTGTGTCACATTAATCAATTAAAACATCATAAATGACATCAGAACCACAAAAGTATACCAGATCAATTAAAATAACAACATAAAAAAAGAAAGAAATTCAGATATTAAAATGGGATGACTGTATTGATAATTAGCCCTGTTGTCAAAAAGAGACCACAGCTTTCTTTCTAAACTAGACACGATCAAGTACTTTATACTGTAAACTTGTATTGGACACTAGATTTACACATTCTCTGTGTTCGGAAGGTTCATGGCGTATTTGTTCATTTCACCCAGTAGCTACTCTGTGCGTGCGTGTGCGTCACACTGGCTGTTAGAAAAACTTTTGAAAAGAAAAGCAAAGCAGCTCAACTTCACGAAGGAAAAAAAAAAAACATGACTCCCCTCCAGTCAGCACTTTACTATATCTCTCCATCTTCTGTTCCAGCACCTATAGGTGGTTAATTTGAATGAGAATGGGATAACAGGTGTGTGGAGGGATGATGAGAAAATGGGGTTTTCTCTGATTGTGCACTTTTTATAGCATCTCTCTTCTCTGTAATCCTGTCTTTGCAGGGACGAGACTACTGTTCGGAGGAAGAAGAAGAAGATGGGACATAGCACACAGGCCCTCAACCCCACCCCACCCCCCCAAGAGAGCCTCAATGAGTGTGTGAGAGTGTGTGAGTGTGTCGATGAGCGTGCCTGAAAGAGAAAGCAAGTTTATAATGGGGGTGTTGTTTCGATGGGACACTGAGCTGGTGTGGGTGAAGATTATTTTTTTTAAACATACGGCAAAATTTGTACTTTTAAGTGCACGTGAAAGAGAGAGAGAATGGGATAAAGAACAATTTCTTCCGAGCCTACAGCCCTCCTCTCTCAGCATCTCATCCCTTCAGGCCTCTGAGCAGACAGATGGAGGTGCTGAGGCAATGAACGGACAGGCGGATGAAAAGGCGGGGGAGACGGAGGAGAGATGACGGGTGCGCACACTTCTTCGCAGGCGGAGTGAAGAACCTGTCATCGTCAGGGCAAACAGAGCTGTTTCCTTCAGTGGAATACCTTTGCGACCCTCCGTCAACCTCCCCCCACAGCCAAACACACACTCTCGTCCCCTCTGTGGCCTGAAACTGATGAACATGTGACCCCCGCAGACGGACAAAGGCCCAGTGGAGATCCGTGTCCTGGAGGAAAAGAATAAGCAGAGGAAATATCTACCTCTTCTTGGACCCTCACCGAACACTTTGGCTTAACCACCTAATCAGGAGAGAAAGGACTGAAAGGGTGAGAGAGAGAGGAGACAAAGGGGGAACGTGGGATATTTTATTAACGAGAAGTATGAAGTGAGCTGGTATTTTAGAAACTCTAAACTCCTCCTGCCTTCTGAAGTCAAGAACCGTGTTTGATTTTTTTTAATTTTGTGCCACAGCCACTTATTCAGTTTTTCTTTCCTTTTTATAAAGATGTTTCCAGCTCGTTTCATTCTTGACTTCCATCGTTGTGTACCACCATCATCATCATCAGTCATTTTGATTCTCAGCGTTATTTTAAACCAACTACAGCGCCACAATTCAGAGTGTCTGTGTCTCAACCAAACTCCTTTTCCTTCAAAATATCCTCTCTCACACACACATGTCGAGGACTATTTAAATACAGCAACACAATGCTTTTTTTTGTTGACATTTTATTTTCAAAACAGGCATCTTGGCTTATTTGTACACAACGGGTAAACGCACGTTATAATCTGTTTCACCAGCAGAATGTCGTGTGCAGCCTATTATCTGTTTTTAATTAAGCGTTCACACATAAAGATATATAAATGCACACATTCATAAACACTGAAGCTGTAAACAGGGATGAGCTTAAGGGGAGGATGAGTGGTTGCCGTGGAGACACAGACCGTTATTTTTTTTTTTCATCTTGACATGATATGTCCTGTTGTATTATTTTGAGTACTTTTTTCTATTAAAAATAAAAAACCCAGAAGCTTTGATTGTACAACATCTTTGTGTGTGTGTGTGTGGGGGGGGGGGGGGGGGGGGGGGGGGGGGGGGGGGGGGGGGGGGGAGCAATGGCTTTCTGCCTTAAGGTGCAGTTTCAAACCTGTGTGGCTGTGTACTGACCCCAGCTGGTACAACATCAGTAGTATTTTTGTAAATGCTAAATTATTTGAAAAGCTAAGACAAACCAAACCATTCTGATATGCATCTTTCAACAAACTTTATGTAATATGAGCGCATACATTTTGTGATTTTATAACGTTTAGGCTGCAAAAGGGAAAAGTTTAAAACAGCCAGTTTTAAATGACGCCCAGTCAGACAAAAGGCTTTTTGTTTTCTCCAGTGGATTTTGTTAAAAGCTGATTTAAACAACCTTTTTATGAGCTACTTTACCTCAGTAACTTTAACTCAGGTTTTGCCCTTGGGCCACTTAAAACTATCAGTGTGGAAGTAAAGTTAAATAGAGTAGCTCCAACAAACCAACTATTCAATTCTTAACACAAACCTAAAGTAGGACTTGTGTGTGAGTAACTCCAAGAACGTAAATTTGCAATTTTCAACCTTCCCACACGGTCAAAGATCATTGTCTGATTCTTCTGTCCTGTTAAAGTTATATGTGAGGTTTTTTTTTAAATAATATCGTAAATACCTGATAAAGACCTACATGTTTAAAACGTTTTTTAAACAGTTATTTCCAGTTATTGTGTGAACGCTTATGAAGCATTCACACTATTGTGATCCATTTTTCTTGCATACATTTTTCAGTACCTTTCTTGTCTCGCAGCTTTCCAGCTATTTCAACAAATCATAAATCAAAACTTTCAGCTCTTTCAGGACAATCCTGCTATGACTTGGTATCGGTGCAACTTTAGCTTTTTTAAATATTTAGCCTTTTCTGCCACTTTTTTCCTCATAGCAAATGAATTGAGCTCATTTTACATCCTTCAAATCTTTAGATCTGTTTACAACCTTTTACTGCTCCTTTCACATGTTGTTCTGCTTCAGCTTCTTTCAGCTTCATTGTGCAAATTTAACCATTTTTTTCAGCTATTTTCAGTTAGTTTCAGCTGTTTTTAAAGCTGTTTTTCCAGCTGTTTTGTGCTCCTTTCAGATTTTTTTCTGCGTACTACAACATTTTGGTGCTTAACTTATTTCTGCTAATTTCATCTTTTTACGCTCCTTTCAGCTGATTTCTGCAAGTTTCAACTATTTCTGCAATTTCAGCTACTATTTAGCTGTTTTTATGCAAATTAGAACATTTTCTTATGTTAATTTTAGCTTGTTCTACCTTTTAGCATTTTTAGCTAATAATTTCAGCAGTTTTCAGATAAATTCAAGCTTTTCATGGTAATTTCTGTTAATTTCAGCCTAATTAACTTATTCTTGCTAATTTCAGTTTGTTATGCTCCTTTCAGCTTTTTCAGCTAGTTTTTAGCTGATTTGGTGATAAAGTTAAGTTTTTCAGCTAATTCCACATTTTTTTTTAGCTTATTTCAGTTCATTCCACTTCTTTCTGGTAGTTTAAGCTTCTTTCTGCCTTTTCAGCTATTTTTAAGCTGGGTTTGTTTTTTTGGTGTGTGCTAATTTCAGCTTTTTTAGTTAATTTCTTAATATTTGTGGCTCATTTCTGCTTATTTAAACTTTTTTCAGCAAATATGTGTTCTTTCTGCTTTCTTCTGCTAACTTAGACTTTTTCTTCCATTTCAGTAAATTTCAGCATGTTTTTAGCTACCGGTAATTTCAACTGGTTTTCAGCAAGTTTTTCATCAATAATCATTCACACTGCATTTTTGTAGGAAAAATAATTTCTCTAGTTTGTATTAATATTTGACACTGTTGTGTTGTCTCGAGCTATATTTATACTCCTGTTGCCGGCAGGACTTTTTTCTCTCTCATAAATAGCTTTATGATGTGGTAATGTACGGAAACTCAAAGTGCTGGATCAATATCTGCTCCACGGTTTATAATGTGCACCACGTGGGACTGGATCCCGTAATGCTTTGAGTGAGTAAAAGGGCTGCTCTCCACCTGAGTGTTTCTGTAATAGCTGCACCCTGCTGTCTCTGTGTGACATTTAACACACACAAACTCTTTCTTTACCTCATGACTCACATGGCAGGGCCCACATGAGGTTGGAATCAGCAGCCAATGAGTACATAAGCAGCGTGAAAGGGTCCCTGTGCGCCTGTGCTCGCAGTGGTGATCTCCCGCACAGAGAAATAAAAGTGCTGGAGGAAGACGCAGAGAGAGGGAGGTATAGGAGTGAGAAATTAAGACGAGACATTTGGGAGAGCGAGGAAGACGGATGTTGCCCGTTAACCTCAGACAGGAATATGGGCGAGAAAATGTTCTTTCCACCCTGATGCAAGCACCAATAAAACCTCATTTTGTGAGTCTTATTGGAGGTACAACGTGTTCTCGGCTGCTAAATGATTTGCCAAAGTTGTAGAAAATTGAGCAGAATTTACATTTGTAAATAAACTCAGGAGAAATCAGCTGTTCATGTTTAAATTACAGATTTGTTTTAAAGCAGCAAAAGTATCAAGAAGAAGCTTCTGAAACATTTGCATTTTCAGTGAGGGTGTTGTCCAGTGTTGATTTAAGCTAGGGCATTGTGTAACATAGAAATAAATCCAGTGCTATCATTTGCAAATCTCATAACCCCCATGCTTTATTCTAAATAGAGCACAGTAAACATGTCAGGTGTTTAATTTAAGAAGTTGCTCCATGAGTTATTTTAAATTGAGCAACTCATTCAGCAACTCCTCTTTTTATCCAACAAAGTTCAGTCAGGTCATCTGGATGTTTATTTATTTTTTTTTGTCGAGACATTTCATCCTACATCCAAAGAACTTCATCAGTCCGAGCAACCAAAAACCATCTCTGTCCCACATGCACACAAGGGAGAAGGAGCCCCAGAAACCATCTTATCAACAGCAAACGTTTTTTTTCTTCTTCTTTTCTTTTCCACTAAAGTGTGCTGCTTGTGGGACTGAGTATGTTTGTGGCTCCTCGGACTGATGAAGTCCTTTGGATGAAGGACGAAACGGCTTGACAAAAAAGGAACCGTCCAGATGACTTGACTGAAATTTGTTGGATTTTTCACCTGGATTATTGAGCATGGACTTTGATCCTCTCTTAATGTGGAAATAAGGCCAACACAAGGCAAAAAAGGTAAGTAGTATCAATAAGAAACATAAGCAGTTGCAGCTAATTACAGTAGATTAACTGGTAACAGGTGAGTAAGAGGACTGGGAAGAACATTTTTATCATGATCTGGTGGTTGAACTCAGGGTGCAGACAGGACTCCAGGAGCTCAACGGATGAAATAAAGAATATTTATTTACATAAAAGGCTGACATGGCAGCAAAATTTACATGTATTCACAGGACAATCCACCGACAGGAGAACTATGAGAAGCAGAACTTACAGGGACACTAACGAGGGGATACTCACAAACACCTGGGGAGGGAGAATGAGGAACAGGTGACAGGCAGGAGCTGGAGCTGACACATGGGGGAGGAATACTGAGGAAGGCAGGAAACACATAAACACAGAAGACGCCCAGATCCTCTGTTTTAGAGAAACTGAATTTCTCAGAAGTGAAGATGGGCAGATGTTCACCTGTCTGCAAAATACTGTGTTTTAACAGCAAAACAAACAAAAGTTTTTGGACGAAGCATATGTTTTCATCCAGAAGATATAATTTTCAGGGAAGGCCTGGCAGATTTCAGCCAGTCTATGCTGTGGGTCTCCTCACACTTTTACAGATTGTTGTTGAAAGATGGGATGCTTCACACTGGTCAATGTTTGCTATCCTGTCTTTATATATATATA